CTCTCTCTCTCTCTCTTTCTCTCTCTGTCTCTCTCTCTCTCCCCCCCTCTTCTTGTTTTGCCTCTCTTCTCTCACACACACACCCACAGATGCTCACCCCAGCCCAACAGTTCCTCTCGATTCTATTCAAATTTTTGTTTTGTCCTTGTGTGCTGTAAATTGTTGCCTTTTGTATGAAATTGCTGCTCATTATGGTCTCAGGATCTCTTTCATGCCACTTTTGTATCTGTCTTATCTTGCCCTTTGTTTTCTTCTTGATATTGAAAGAACCCATGATCTGTTTTGAAATCATTTATTAACATATATTTATAGATATCAAAATCTCTTTCATCATCCCTGATGAGGTGAAATGCTATGTTTTGCTAATTAAAAAGTTATAGTTCTACAATTTGTTGGTGATTCCATCTGTCCTATTGTTTAAAAAAAAAAAAATTTTGATGTTGAAAATGTTCTGATTAATAACCATTTATCAAAATCTTTACATAACACACTTACATGTACAAGTTTTTTCCACTGGACTGGATGGTATCAAAATGAAATATCAAAGATTTATTTCAAAAGCGAATAGCTCTATCCCATGCATAATTGAGTCTTTATTCATTTATATCTTGTTTCCTTAAACAGCGGTGAACCTCACCCTTCAGCAAAGCATGTTCACTCATTTGAAAAGGCACGTTTGCCTGCTGGGGTGAATGGTTTGGACTTCTCTATTGATAGCCACCCCTTGGCGCTCATGTGACCTTATGCAGTTGTGAGTGCCGTAAAACCTTACTAAAACTAAATGACATGAATGTCAATATTGTTGAACAGAAAGTTTGTGAACACTTGTGCTTGTTTCTTTTCTGTGACTGAGACAGAAACACCCCCCCCCCCCATGATTTTGTCATTTCCTCAATTTTTTATGGGGTTTGATGGCTATATCAGCACATGTTACTTAAAACATCCACCATTATACGAAGTTCACCCACTTGTTGTAGGATTCGACTTCAATTTTTAAAAAATGACCAAATTGCAGACTTTCCTGCTTTGCATCCAAACCTCGCTGTGGTCCATCATCTGAAGCTGTCTGTTTCTTACTCTTCTTAGCATCCTGCTTTGAAGTCTTTTGTGTTAAGTTGATGTGTTGAGCCGGTTCACACTTTCATCATGTAGTTTGGGTAAATATTTGAAATAAAGGTATTTTTTTTACAAGTTAACAATTTTGGTGTTCTTTGTTGTTTTTTTTCCTTAAAGTTTGTGTTCCAATTTTTACCACATTTTCATTTGTGTTTTTTTTCCTCCTTAGTATGCCTCAGACCACACCAATGTGGAGAGATGATATGATTTATTCACAGTTTCACTCTCTATCCATCCGTCTATTTATCTGACTCTTCTGTCACACTTTACCACCCCCCC